AATATCAATTATGTACTCCTTTTCGCATTAGAACTTCGCATGCGCAACGCAAGGGCACCGCGTGTGGACCTCCAATCGATGAGGCCATTTTGAATGCCCGAGCCATGCGCGCGCGAACGTGGAGCGGAGCTCATTGCGCTTACGGAGAAGGGAGCACGTGATTGACACGGACTGTACGAATACAATATTAGCTTTTGAAATTATCCATTAGTTTTATCGATTTTATCGATTTTTTGCAAAAGTTTGAGCTACGGGGCTGGGAACTGGCACAGGGGGGTAATCGAGCATGCGGATAACTAACACAGCGGGAATAGGAAGTTGGAGTCGGTATGTAAAAGTGGGCATAAGGAAAGGTTGTACGGGGATAGGGATGGGAGCTTTATCATAATGTTTTTACAGGGCCGGAGTCTTTTGCACATTTTTATAACACATTTAAGTAACTTTCAAAAATTTCGCGACCCATTCTCGGGGGGGAGGGGCGCGCCCCCCCCCCCCACCTCGGTACGCCACTGGTATGTATGTATGTACGTGTGTTCCTAATAAAATTTTTTTATTTCTGAACCGATCCGGACCAAACTTGGCACACCTACACTTCGGGGCGGGGCGGGTGTCAAAGGCTACTTTTCGTCATTGGTCGATGTCGGTTTTATCGATTTCTATCGATTTTTTTGCAGAGTTCACCTACGGGGCTGGAGTTTGGCACAAGGGGGTAATCGAGCATGCTGATTACTACACAGCGGGAATAGGCAATTCGCATGTAGAAGTGGGCACAGGGGAAGGTTGTGCATGGATAGGGATGGGACCTCTGTCATAATGTTTCGAAAGGCCGGGCGGAGCCGGGACAGCCAGCTAGTATGCATTAAACTAATGCGCAGAGTATAGACGCTGAGTACTTTGACATACCCATGAGCGCTTTTGCATTACCAATACTAGTCATGAGTATGAACAGCAACCAGGGTCAAGCGTGCTGATGCGATCCGGGACCCTCATTTACGACCCCCCCCCCCCTTGAAGGTACCCATCCTACGACCACCCCCCCCCCACCCTCACCCACTTATCCCCCTTACCTCCCCTGCCCACATTCCTCGCGGTAACCTGCATAAACTTATGTCAATCTCAAAAAACACCTGCGTGAGAACTTCAGTGAGGTTTCGCACGCAGAATTTCTAGGTGAATGGGTGCGTCCATCATCTGTAGCGCACATACACACCTTTAATAATGTTTGAGATTCTGCAAGTTTTTTTTTGAATTTTCAGGTATACTTCAGGCCAGCAAATTCGATTTCCGTAGGCGACACAAATTTCTGCACGGAGGAAAAATGACATTCTTGAACTACAAAAAATGTTTTCGACTAAGAAGCTTACTTCCTACCTTTTCCACAGTTTTTCCCGCAAAAAAACCGCTTGAGCACCGTCCCAGAACGACGTCAAAAACGTCCTTGAGCACGGTAGTTTGAAAATTCGTAACTAATTCCAGGAAAAGACTGAGAGGCTGCAAAGCACATGTTCTGTAGTATAGTGCCCAGATTATCCAAAGAAAAAGTTTCAGCTTTTGAGGAGCAGTAAGCTCGAAAAAATTTAGATGCGACTCTCGCAAATTTAGATGCGATCCTAAAAAGCAAAAACTGAGATTTTTGAGCTTAAAATTTTGTAACTTATTAGAGAAGTTATAAAACAGCCTGCAATTTTTATGAGGGAAAGTAGGAGGATGGCCTCATATTACAGCAGAATTGCAGCCAACAAGCTTCAATAGCTCCGAAGAAATTTAGATGCGACCCAGATACGACCCCCCTCTCCTGATTTTTTGCTACCATACATAAAATCATAAAAAAAATCCACAGTTGACAAAATAACACCAAATTTTGCACTGATACAGCGGAGCATCTTAAAAGTACAGATAAATCATATGAGCCCGTGAAAAACATTATAAAAAGATTTAGAATTTTATGATGGTCACAGCTGGTAAAGACATTCGCTTTTGTCGAGTGTGTGAGACTTCAGGGAGGCTTCAGAAGCAAGATCTCTAGGGCAATCGGTACATTTAGCATTTTTATCAAATAATACATCCTTCAAAAGTGTTTTGAGCTCTTGTAAATGTTTTTTTTTTTGAGAATTTCTACAGATTTTTTATCTTTTTTATTCTGATTTCCATTTTTTTATAGATTTATTGTAAAGAACATAACTAATTATGTGCTTTTTGATTCCCTTTTAAGCTTAGGGTATTTTAGCCTAACTACCCGTTTTTACGACCCCCCCCCCCCGCCTTAGGTACCCTCTTTACGACCCCCCGTTGCGACAGTCGCATCACAAGCTTGACCCTGACAGCAACCTGAACATCCTTCTGAAGTTTTTTCTGGTGCAATGTTTGTGCATGTACAGAACACTTACAGATCATGACAAACGAGCGATTGCCGCTCGCGTACGCAGTTCCCGCAGATATCTTGACTTTTGTCTTTACATACGTTTAACTGCGTACTAATTTCTCGAACTAAGTCGATAAAAGAACCAGTGTTTTTAGCGCTCAGAGTAAACGTTCAAAGAAATCAAAATGTTTGTCACGATATAGATTTACCGATAACTCTTGAATTTGAAGATCTTGAAGTATCTGCCGTGATGCGGTTTGAAGAAAGGGTATCTCAAAGAAAATGCAAACTCAATAGCTGCAACTCAATCCATATTGATCGTGATTTTCCATCTCCCACAGCTAGCAGCGATGATATGACTCTTCACTCTCCGATAGTCGTGAGTCTAGACCGCGTGGCATGTGCATTTGCACGAAACATGTTGTAACTGACATCTTAGTTGGGAGCGGATCCGAGGATTCGAATCCTCGTTTGAAGACGCATCGCTTGAGGCAGTTTTACTCTTGTATGGACTTCTCTAAAATATTTTTTTATTTTTTGGCGGAGGAAGGGACGAAAATATTGTTAAGCCACTCGTCCTTGCCTTTTCTATGTGTTAAACAGCTCTGCATAATGTTGAATATCAAATGAGTTTTTCAAACAAGTCTGAATAGTGTTTTGGAAATCAACGTTGTTGTTGCATGCAAGTCGATTTCAAGATTTACACGCAAAATTTGATAAAATCCTAGTTACTTTATAGAGGCTACTGTATCTTGTGAACTCCGATTGTTATCTAGGTGTTAGATACCAACATATTAGCATAAGAAATTATCAGCACGGCTGATTATGATCTGTCTAGGTAACAGTTAAATGGCGTCATCATTTCTGGTCTGGCCATAAAGTTGAACAAAGACACGGCATTATTATTTTTGGTTATGATCTATAGACTTCTCCTACCTTCATCTCGTTGCCATCGAGCGACACTAACCACTTGGCATACAGTATTTCCATCTTGACTTTTGTACGATTTGGAAATGAACACTTGAGGTGATATTATAGAGATGTCTTAACGGTGAAACTGCTGGTTGTCAGAGTTTTCATCTCAAGTCTGTTCTTATCGTTATTGGCTACAGAGGACCAGTTTTCTCATTCCTCATTCAAGTACGGAAGTTACTGGCTTGGCCTGGTGCATAGTATGTACTCTCTGTAGTTTGCCCCTTCTTGAATGTTAATCACTTTTTCATGTTTTTGCAGTTCTCCACTAATTTTTGAGATCGCACTAATCCTTTATATCTCTTACATTATCCATCCGACAGCAGATCGATCCTACTTGAATATTTTTACCAAAGTAGTATCGTAGAATTTTACGAAAAGCACTATCGGTGTTTCACGAACTGAAGGCGCGTTCGTGGAAACAGGTGGCGCAAGTGTAGGAGTGCTAGCCATTGTAAAGTGACACTTTGCAGCATCCCCAGATACTCTTTATTGGAGAACATCAGAATAAGATTTCCATGTTGGGTTATGGTATCTCTTCACCGTGATAGTGCTGTACTTTGCTTGCAACCTGCTTACAACCTGGGTTTTCAGTGCATGGACACTGGATGATAAAGCGTAGAATGCAGAGAAGCATGGCTGGTGAATCTGTGTGGCAATCGCTCTTCTGGTGTCGTTTGCTGCTCAGTCATCAACGCATATGCTTCGTATAAGAAACTGATGATATGGAGAGCTATCGGTGTAAGAATTTCGCATGCTTTATTTCTATCGGTTAATGTACACAACAGTTGTTCGTATGCTTGCTTCTATAATTCGCTATGGAGCGTGGGCGACAACGTTGTAACGTTGAGCGAAACAGCGGCTAACCGAGTCAGTGCCACCCCTCCAGAGTTCTTGTCCAACTGTTGCTCGGAAACATTCTTTTGCTACGTTCACCCATCAGTGGTCGCGTCCCTCCCCACTCATCTGGCTTTATAATGCTCTGTTTTGAGCAACAGCAACAGTTTGATCTCTCAGAACCAGTTGCTCATTGTTTGGACCATGCCTTATAACGTATTAGTAGCGTCTGTATCGCAGTTACGAGTACATCGCGGATGCTCAGGCTTGCGACTAAGAAGTCTTTCAAGTTGGTGCGGTATCCAAACAATAAATGTCAACACTTGACTGGCGCGCGTGGCTCCGTCCCGCAATCGAGATCGCTTCATCAGCTTTTGCTTATTCTTTTGAATCCATTTAGTGTTCTCACAAATCCCATCGATATCCCTGTGCTTGCTTATGATCAAGTTGGAGTGAAACAGATGCAAACTCGCACTCAGTGTAGCGCTCATTACACTCCTGGATGTGCGGGCGGCGCTGGCTACTTCAACTCCTCCCACCTCCATATGTTGAGACTGTGTTTTAGAGGATGTTGTTCTAGAAAGACGCCCTCCAGCGCTCTCGCTTATCACAGATTTTGATTTTGATGTTGAAGCGTACTTGCTTTGTTTATTCTGCTCTTCAAACAGATCCCCTGCCATATTCCTCTGTTACACTGCGCGCCTGAACTTTATATCGAATGGCTCTGTATAGTCCCGCATCCTATGTTTGTAGCGAATTTGCCTTAAAAACATAAAGCGATGCTAATTTGGTGCTGTATCTGAGAATTTATCGCTCTAATGCGTAGGGTATGGGATCTAACCCTGTCAAGGTATGCACGAATTTCAAGAACATTGCTTGTACACAACATCCGGTTATTCTGCAGATCGTAACATCAATAGCACCGCGTTTTACCATGAAATCCGATTTCGGTCTGTGGTGTTGGAGTAACTTTCACCAAATTCCATATTCAGGACTCACCATGCCAGAGGGCAAGGCTCCGCATTTTCCACAGCAGCCTGTAGCTCGCCAGAATGATGACGGCTCACTTGAGCTTGAATGCTTTCTTGACGCATCTCCTCAGCCAGACATCAAGTGGTTTTACGATAATGTGAGTCTGATAGATTTCAAGTATTTCTTCGTCTACGTATTATCCTGTTCTCTGCTTGCGACTTATTTTATGTCCTCCTACACCATTCCATCCATAGAATTGCCTCTTTCACTCTTTTTGTACGAAATGTGCTAAGTAAATTTTGCTTGCCGTCTCGCTAGTTTTCAAGTGTACACTCTGCTTATACCTTCCAGATGTCGAGGGAATGTGCTTTTTCGCTTTTTGCAAAATATGAGGGAACGTTTTGTTACCTAGAAATTGAGAAATTTTACGACGTAATGAGTACTTCTGTAGAAGAACAAAAGATTCTTAATCACATCAGTATGCATAAGTCCAATGTTATGGCTTGGGGATCCACAGAAAGGTTTTCTATCCTCTCTCGCATTTTGCTTGTATCCATTTAGGGAGCTTTGCAAAGATCAGTTTTGGAAAAGTTTTCAGCTTAGGTGGAACTCGACTTTTATAACCATAGTATCACCTGAAATGGTATCGAAATACTTATAATCTGCTACATAAATTCATGTTTTGTTACTGGTTTGAATTAGGAAATGTTTATATTCTTTCTGGAATCATCACTGGCTCATCGGTCGCACTTCATTTGCACTCGCTCATGTTCGAAGCGAAGAGGGTACACTACAACTATAGATGGGAGACGTCTTGAAAGCGAACTAGAATGAAATTCTTGTACACGATTTTCGGTCACTATCTCGCTATAGTCGCTGCTTAGCCTAAAAAGTTCTTGTCTTTCGCTAATGGCGCTCGTTCTTTGATAAATAGGCGGCCGTCATCGTATTAAAGAAATGTGAGCGGCCAAATTCGAATCATCTGTCGGTGAAAAAAATGCATTTTACTCCTTGACGGTCTGAGATGTACTATGTCTTGCATTCCTTTTGTATAGGCACTACTTTCCACTACGGATGTCACAGCATATTTCTTGTCACATAGTGCTACAATGAATAGGTGATACAAAATGTAATCTACTTTCAGAAGGAAGTGAAACCCGACTCTCGCTTCCAGTTCAAGCTTGATTCCAAGGGAAATGATTCCTACTCCGCTATTCTTCAAATCAAGGTTGTTATCCCTCCATTCAACTCTTTTCCATATTGTTCAGCAGTTTGCCATAATAGTACTGTAGTCATTCAGATGAAGTTATCATAACAGTTTGTTATGGCTGGCAAGCACAAAATCTTTTTATGTTTTTTGCTTGCATCCTCTTTCCTACATGATTTAGTGGTAGTAATGGTGCGCCTCCTGAGCCTAAAATAAGGCAACTTGTGTAATAGAATTTATAAAATTAAAATGACAGTTTTATTAGGAGTAAAAAGTTTGTGAAGAGAAGGTATTTTCCTTTGCAGGACCTTGCCGACAGCGATGCCGGAGGCTATCGATGTGCTATCGTCAACCCACACGGAAAAGGAAATGCAAACTTCAACTTGAAGCTCACGGGTACGTCCGTATGTATTACAGTTCGCCTTGTATATGCAGCTGTAGGTCCTGTAACCCTTTCGTTGAATAAGAATTATCCGGAGAAAGCTAAACTTTGTACTGATTAATTGATGGTTGCATCAAGAAAGCCCGGGTAAATGATTGTTGAAGAGTCGTTGTATATACTTAACCGAATATTGAATATGATCCCTTTCTGAAATTACGTGTTTGGGTCTTTCCCGTTTTCGTGCATTGCAGTTAACCGGGTTACGGGATAATAAGTATCTTAGATATCTTCATCCTAGATAGCGCAGTGAGAATGAAAATAAGATATCAGTATTTGAACATCTGAGAGCGAGCTCATGTTGGCTTTACCTGCGGTTTATAGGCAATCCATATATTATTCGATTGCAGGTTTCTCTTCTCCTACTTTTGTGGAGAAGCCGCAAATATCTTCGCGCGATGACGGCCAAGTGATGGTCATGGAGTTCCGCGCTAAGTCGATTCTCAAGCCCACCTTCGTTTGGCACAAGGTGTGCCTTTTTTTGCTCTTATCGCGCGCTTTGTTTTGTCACCTGCAGTAAAATAAAAGTGTTTTTAGGGGGATGAAATCGTTGCTCAATCGGATAGAGTGAACATAGTTCTTAGGGAGGAAGCTAATCAGATCTACTACGCTGCTCTGGAGATCAAGGTGAGCAATTACTACCTGTCAAGAATATGAATGATAATGCTGAGATTTGAAGGAGCCAACGAAAGAGAAGGATGCCGGTCAATTCATCTGCACGGCCAAGAATGACTCGGGAAAACTAACCGCAACTTTCACTGTGAAGTTTGAGGGTCAGTTACTTTCTACTTCACAAATGCATACATGAATGAAATTCGCACTTTAGTACCGCAAGGAGCACCCACTTTCACGCGAAAGCCACAGATTCTTCAAGTCACATCTGATTCTGGTGATCCAGCTATAGTCTTCGACATTGGTTATCAGGCTGATCGAAACCCGGAGGTTCGAAAATCTGTTCATCACATTTTATGAGCTGTTTGTGTTTTTAGGTGATGTGGATCAATCCCAAGGGAAAGAAAATGAAGGAGTCCACTCGAATTCGTTTCCTCACTTCGCCGGATGGACCAAACAACACCTTCACTGCTAAACTTGAACTCAAAGTATGTTTCTCATCTCTAGCATCTAAAACATGTAAAAACAACACTTTTTCAGAATTATAAAGCAAAGGACTCGGGAACCTATACTTGCAATATTAAGAATGAGGCTGGAGAGGCAAATGTTGAGCTGACGCTGAATATCGAAGGTAAGAACAGGTGTTGATAGCTATGTCAGTTTAATTAGCTTTTTCTTTAATCCATCCATATTATTTTGTAATCTCGCTTATTTCCATTCGTTTTAATACGCTTTGAAATTTTCTTTGCAATGTTCACTTATAGTTCGTTTACTCACGGACCTGCACCAAAAACGCCATTTAATAACGTATGTCACCGATAACCTCACTCTACTAGAACTTTTCAGGTCCGATGGATGACGGAGGTGATGACGGAAGCGAAGCGTAAATGTGTGAGCCCAAGCAATGAAACACTTCAACACCTGCGTCCTCGCCAATTCCCATGTGAATGACTACATGTGAATGACATTCTTGAGAATTTCGATTGTATTCTAATAAATTTTGACAGACCAGCCAATGTCTTCAATTTCGTGAACTTCAGAAATTTATAGAGCGAGATTTGATTTAGTTGTAGTATGTAATTTGTTGACACTGGTCGTTACTTTGTTTTTGCGTCTAGTGTGATCTCTTTACTCTCAAATGAAAGTGTTTTTCCGCTCTGATTTTCTTTTGGAGTTTCAGTCGAGTGAGTCTCGGTAGAACCAATTAAAAACTTTGGGAAGAGCATGGGGAGCATATTCTAGAGACAGAATTGTTGAGAACGATGCACTGGCCGGTGGACAATTCGTTTTTACTATCAGAAATGGAAGTAAAGCTTGCAGATGGATCGGTTACAGAGTCCATGCATCACAGGGCATCCACCTAGTGCATGTTTTTGTCGGCGCATACGGCGGCTTCATGTATACACATAGGTGTCTGTTCAGCCAGCCACATTCAATAAGTTCCTTGTTGGAAATGAGGCCTAGCCACGTAAGATGAGGCAAAACGACATTACACTCGAGTTCTTGCTCAATGCATTTGCAGCTATGACAGCTTGCAGAGGTGATTAGAATGACTAGAGCTTGTCATAGCGTTCAATTTTTGCAATTGAGGTTTGGAATGAGTCTCCGTTGCGGATTTGAATTGCACAAAAGTCTAGCATTCTTGATTTGTATGACCGAACATCGATCTTTAACTTAGTGAGCTACTTCACTGTTGTACACACTGACCAAATTCTGATGGCACACGGCTGCGCTGCACTTTGTGAAAGACATTTGATACCCATGGCAGTGATTTTGCGAGGCTCTGTGGTGATGGCTTGAAGGCAGTAGCTCGGCGAAACTGAACATCTCGGAATACGAAAACTGCTTCGAAACCTTCGAAACGCGAGCGCGCAAACCAATATCACAGGCTCACGGAAGAAGTCGCGAATTCCCTCCCACCGTTGAAGGCGGCGTGCTGCTATATTGTAAGCATGGGGGTTCGACAACGACTCTGCGTATCCAGCCGTAGGGGAAACTGTCCCAATCGTCCAAATTTAAAATGAAGGGCTCTGGGAAATGCTGGTTTCGCCATCTTCACGCTAAGGTAATTTTCGGGACCAGCGCGTCGTATTGCTCTACGTGCAGACAATTTCTAGGTCGATGATCTGCCGAGCCACTACCTTTAACTTGTGATTTACGATGCAAATGTCGTCTTGCGCATAAATACCACTAGTTTCACACAGAAAATTCTGAAGAATATTGCGTTGTTATATCTATGTGACCACAAAAGTTCAAAGAAAAACCTAAAACATACTGCTTTATGCTATGTATAATTCGAAGAGTCAAGGTAGAACTCTGCTCCCCGACTTTGATCTCTTACATATGTTTCGAAGTCAGATGTACTTGTCTCAGTACTATGCTTGACAAAAAAACCACTTTGCGTTCGATTGTTGTGCAAAGGGGTTTTGACGAGGATGTAGTATCGGTCCACGTCTCTGGTGCGAGAGGTGTAATAGAATGTTCGACGAGTAGAAGCAAGCTTACCCCAATGGTCACTGAACCTGCCCGCGTTTTCCTCTTAGCTTTCGTACTTTCGGTCTATGCCACGTGCTTTAGCGACCATCAAACGAGTTTGATCGACAAGTATCGCAGAGAAGTTGTGAGATCTGGGCTGATAGGCTACTAGGCTGATGCATATATCTTGCAGCAAAATTCTAGTTACCTCTTGCTTTCGCCGATTCAATACGTGTGTTAGAGAAAGAAGATCTTGTGCTTCCTATTTTGAGAAAATCCCATGTTAGTGCATTGCAACGGTCATGCTGACCAGAGACATTGTGATTGTTTTGAGCGATATAAGGAAGCACACGCTTTAGTCGTAAGAAACGAGAAAACATACGGGGCGAAGCCTCGGGTACTGATTTAAGCTCACAACCATATCAAAATGATTGTGAATGAAGCGAGCTGAGCGAGTGATGAATGATGAAATATTTTATCAACATCGGAAATACGCAATCCTGCAGCCTTTTTTGCGCTAAAAGGTAGATTTCTGTTAGAAAATACTAAAATTGGCAATGTAACCTGTTTTTGCATTATATATGAGTCTAAAAATTGAAGACTGGAGTTCAGTAATTAGCCAGAAAATGCGCTCGAAACTTGCGCCAAAGTACGGCACGTAAAAATGCGACTTTACCTCGTTATATAGTAATCCTCTCATGGTGATCGTATTATATTTAGTTTGCAGATTTTCATCAAGAATGCGGAGATTTCCAAACAGAGTCAGATACTCTGTAGTTTTTGCTGCTGTTTTTTCTTTAATCAACTGCGCCTTCGCTTGACGCCCGCTGACTCATATTCTCCACGGCGCATTTGGCTCTAGTACCCTTTTCTCCGTTGTTCAAATCCTGGAAAGATGTATAGCCAAGCTCGAGGAAGAGGTGTGGTACACAACCGCCGGATACGACCGCCCAAGTTCGTTCGGCACCCCCCCCCCTCCCCTGCATTTTCGTTAACCTACCGTAGGCATGATATAAAGGCTCTACCAAGCATAATTAGTAACATGTTTGTGATTATCATGCCAAATAACTCCTGTGGGCCAAGATTTAGCGAATTTTGGGGTTTCCCAATATTGGGCCACGCAAGTGAAAAAGCCATTTTCAAACGTGGTTAACTAACTTCAGTCGTGAGTTAGCTACCCCTTTTTGTACTCATTACAAAACACTACTTCCTCTTTGGCGACACCAAGAATCCTGCTTCAAATAACCATCAAACCATGGAATCAGGAGTCAGCCAAAATCTTGTTTGTCCCATTTTTTGCTTACAGTGTTTGTGCTTCCAGTAACTATTGCTCAGACGAAAAGGACGAATTCAGCTTCAATCACTTCTACAAATCTACGAGATTTTTGCTATCTTACTTACTTAGATACTTAGATGGCCCGTCTTCACGTGGCGTGCGGGCCCCAGCACAAAAGTTGCCATTTGTCCCTGTCCCTCGCTTCAGACATCCACGATCTTCTTGGTTGCCGTCGGTGGCTGCTTCCACGAGTTCCAGGTGCGATAATCGTATCCAGCTGACTTCTCAGCTGGTCCATCCGTTCCACGAACACTTCTGCCCATCTCGTTGGTGGTCTTCCTCGGGGACTTTGGCTTCGCGAGGAATCCACTCAGATGTTCTTAGTGTCCATCTGTCGTCTGTTCTTCTCATGATGTGACCGGCCCATCGGTGCTTCGCTTTCGCAAAGTATTCCGCTGGGTCACGAAGACGGGACATTCTTCTCATATCCGTGCTGCGAAGTCCGACTAGATGTTGCTTGTGTCGCGTCATCTTCAGAAGTCTGCGCTCGAGCGCTCTGTGGGTGGTCCGTAAGGCTTTCGACGTGGCTACTGTGTCAGGACAAGTCTCAGCTGCGTAACAGAGCGCCAGGAGAACGGTTGAGTCGAACAGGTGGGCACGAAGCTCTGGGTCCGTCAGTTGGTCGGTGGCTTCCTTCAGAGGCCCGAAGGCGGCCCAGGCTGCTCTTCTTCTCCTGTTAAGTTCTTCCCTCAAGTCGTTCTCCATGTTCATCGAACGTCCGAGATACACGTAAGAAGACGTCTCCATAATAGGGGTGCCTTCCAGTTCCATTTCTGCATCTTCGCAAAGGGCGTTCTTCATGAACTGAGTCTTCTTCCTTTATTCGCAATCCGATCTTCTTCCCTACTTCGTTTAGTTCCTTCAGCATCGTCTCTGCTTCGGTGATACTGCTCGAAAAGAGAGCGATGTCGTCCGCAAAACGGAGGTTAGACAGGAATCTCCCATCAACTCGTGTGCCTCTCTCGTCCCAGTCCAGTGACTTCATCACCCACTGCAAGGCCGCGGTGAACATCGGCGAAATTGTGTCGCCCTGTCGGACCCCCTTCCCGATTAAAATGGTTAGGGGGCGATGGAACAGCTGCATCGTTGTTGTACAGTCCTTGTAGCAGTTGGCTAGTGTCCTCACGTAGGCTGGGTCCACTCCTTGATCGACTAGCGCTGACAGGATGGCGTTGGTTTCGACGCTGTCGAAGGCTTTCTCGTAGTCGACGAAGCTTAGGACGAGAAGCAGTCGGTAATCCCGGCAGACTTCTATGACTCTCGAAACCGTCTGGATGTGGTCCATGCAGCTGAATTCCTTGCGGAATCCAGCTTGTTCTTGGGGTTGGGCTTCATCCAGTGTCCTGTTATGCGTGCGCGGATAATCTTCGTGGAAAGCTTGTACAGCACACTCAGCAGGCATATTGGACGGTAGTTCCGAAGATCCTCCCGTTCACCCTTCTTGAAGAGATGGACGGTTCTTGACGTTCTCCACTGGTCGGGAATTCTCTCCTTCTGAAGGTAAGATGTCAGGTGCGACGTGAGAATCTCGTATAAACGTTGTCCTCCGGCTCGCAGAAATTCGACGGGAAGATGGTCTGGTCCTGGAGCCGTGGATGTCTTTATGGTCTGAATCGCCGTGCGCACTTCAGCAGGTAGAATTCGTGGTGGTACTTCTCCAGTGGCGCTCCCGGTCATGTGCACTACGAAACTCGCTGGAGCCAGATATGGCCTGCGAGAGTGCACATGAGCGCCGTGCAGCGGGAGGCCCCCCCCGCTCCGCGGTGTGCGCATGACCTGCCCCGGAGCGTGTCCGAGGGCCAACGGCTGCCTTCGGACGCGTCTAGCTATAAAGCTTGAAAGCCGTAGCTACACTGCCGAAAGGCAGCGATTGGAGTGAGTGCTGGGGAAAATAGCCTCAGTTCAACCGGGACCCCCACAATGGAAGGTCGCCTCAGCGTGACGTGGGGGTGACACTGGGTGTCGAACGGCGATGCACAGCCGAGTGTATACTCTGGTAGGGCCCCCCAAGCTGTGAAGGAGTTCGACGTTTCCTTTCGGCCGGATGCCTAGCTAAGAACCGGCCACGCCAGATCCCCCGCCGTCTGGCTTCTTCTGGTCGTTAGGCGGTCCCTCCCCGCTCCACATCCGAGGTCAGCGATAGCCTCGTGGAAATCAAGAGTTGGCCTAGTAAGTCTGCTCTTGTAGGGGAAACATTTTATTACTCGATCAGCAAAAAGAAGAGAA